AAAAAAAACTTAAGATTAGTTTTGTTCAACATTTAAAAATATCAAATTGTAGAAAGTCACGCTGAATAGTTATATTCACTATATGAGCATTTGCAGTCTCCAAATGGACTCAAACCCGCGTCAACTGATGAAGAAAATTGCACGGCCACAATGCTTCGATACGTTCTTTCAGCAGGTGAAATGGATACGATAACCAAATAAGTACAGTTTGGGCGAGTGCACCCATCGGTTCAGGATACTGATGTGTAAGCAGAGCTAAAAGCGCAGTGAAAGAGCAAAGGCCTGCTGTAAACAGAATAAAAAATGGCAATTCCTTTTTGGGGTAAACTGAAACCTCATGAAATGACGGCAGCAATTCCCGATCAGCGCATTCTGTACAAGTCGGATAAGGGTAAAATAGATGACCGCGTTCTAGTGGATATGGTAGCATACGAAACGTACCTTCCCAAGTACAGTGCAATAAATTTAATGCTCCATCCACATTTTTCCAATGTCTTAGATGGAAAAAGGCATATGCAAGAGCCTCTGAGTCACCGCGCTTCAAGATGTGTTCCGGCGGTAAAATGAGTGGCTTTGTTTCCAATAAATACTTTGGTACATGTGGGTTAAATTCTACAGCGCGGTGGATAGCTTCCACCGCACTCATTTCAATTGAACTAAGTCCACGTTTTGAGGCTATATCGGGAGAAAATTTATCTGCCACAGCTCGAGCTTTTAACAAAGCTGCAGTGTAGCATATTGTCGCCGACTTGGGCAACGAAATGTCATCATACTTGGCCAAAACTGCTTGGCAGTCGGCATAAGCTTGCATCTCCAGCAGAGTCTCTATGAGATTTTCATGCACGTTTAGCACATTCATTATAGACGGTATCTCTTTGCTAAGATCACGAAAAATCTTCGCAGCCTCCTTCAGTTTTCCGAGCTTTCGTGCACACATAGCTAGACGTCGCTTAATGTAGATTAACACATTTGTATCACGACGATGTATACCTTCAGCTATAGGGCCTTGATGTTGAATGGCCTGTGACCTTCGATAATTTGTCTCTGCTACTTTTAGAGCAGTTTTTAAAATTTTCTCTGCTTCAACGATAGTAGTTGCCTCCTCTTCTGCCAATAAAATATAAGCTGACGCACATTCTGGATTGATTTCCAACGCATTGTGAGCTGATTTTATTCGTTGAACAGGATTTCGTTCGCGCCAGGCTGTTTGCATTATTTCATATTCCTCTTTCCTTGCATCACCTTTACACAAGGATTATTTTTATATACATTGTTGCATTTATTTTATGCGTATACTTACTTACCTTCACACGTAAAAAACGTCTGATGATCTTGTGCACTCAAATTCATGTCGTAATACGTAAGAGGCTCTTTGCTTGTAGCCCAAAAGAAGCGTTGATATTCAGCTCCTCGATACAAGTTTAAAGGATTTCGCCAAACTTTGCATTCTGGCATTTGCTGACTCGCTCCTGTTGACTGATTACTAGTGCTTCCGGCGGTACCATTTGCGTTACCATTGTTACCATTTCCATTAGTTTCGCTTTGAGCATCACTTCCATTAATCCAGGGGCTGATATGGTTTATTGAAACTTGTTCTGAAATTTGTAACCTGCGATTGAGTTGGAGAACTCGGTTAAATTTCATCATTTTTTTTTTACCTATAAACGAAGTTCCATATTTGCGAAAATACCACCATTCAAATATTAAAATCAGCCCGGATATTAGGCTTGAGGTGCCGGTTAGGGCAACATAAAACTTTGGAGTCAGTGTGCTCAGGAAAACAGAAGAATCCCACATCCTGCACCTTTGCCTTACTTCTTAATCTTGAAATCTGACAAAAATGTATCACGATACTTTAAAAACTGTTTTTTATGTTAAAAGTATCTGTATCCCCTAAAATTATTGCTTAATCCGCTTCTCTATTACTTCTTTCGTTCAAAGGCTAAATGAAATTCTGTGCCGCGATCATATTCTTTGATAAACATATGTATATTTATTGTGGCATAAATGCAAACTTTTAACAATTCCGTAAAAAGACTTCTTTTATAGTGAGGTACTGAACTGTCGGTACCCAATACTTCAAAAGAATTTGGGTACCCAATACTTCCTTTTCGGTACCCAATACCGATTCCTTCGCTGTTTTATATATTTAAGTTTATAAAAAAATTACAATGCTTTGACGATGAAAACGGACGGATGATTGATGCTTCAGACAAGTCTGGCTCAGTTATGCATTCTTGGCATTGCATATGAGTTGTCACATAAGAAGAAATCGGTTAAATGAGCTTTGCGTGTAAGCGCACATCATTACATATGTAGAAGTCAGTGCAGTGTAAACTATGCATAACTGAGCTATGAGAATTGCTCTGCCTTATGAAGACGACGACATGCGTATGTATATATATACATTTTT